CTACATGAGCTGCCAAAAAAAAAAAAAAATTACAAAACAAACCAGATTCATCTTTTTACAGAAAGATGTTTTCCCCTGACCCTTGGTTTGATAGATAGCTGAACTTTCCCTCTCTTCTTTATATTGAGAACTTCACAGAATCTTAGAATGAATTATTCCTTTTTCCTAAAAATGATATTGAGAACATACCATCTTCATGTGTTTGTTCTGAGCGTTAAATTATTATCGCAGAGACAAAGTTAATTCTTTCTCAAGGTGCTGATGAGCTTAAAGAGGATTTTCTCCCAAAGAAGCAAAAGTGTTGAGTCACAAATGAATGATGGTTCTTTTGTTTTCTGGTGTCACCCAGACCTTTAATTTGTCTTAGTGAAAGTGATTGCTGAGGAGCAGCTCTAATCCAAGAGGGAGAAAACCCCCAGAGTTCCAGAGTTAATCATTATCGTGTTTTTCAGACAGATTTAAATGACGAATTAGTTGAAGTGCTTGTGAAGGGCAGCTGATGGGCCCCTCTCAGATAGACAACCTTTGATCTCACATTGGCCTGTATTTTCTTTAGAGGGTGAGGGTAATTGAACTGGAAGGTGACACCTTTATACAAACTTCTTTAGTTGATTAAGCAAAAATGATCATTAGAAGGGGGAAAAAAGTAGCGCATTCTTTAAAAATATATTATATTACTTGCTCTTCCAATGGAATTCTTTTTTAAAATTGCTTTTTAAATTTTTTTAAAATAATCAGACAAAACTAGTTTGTATTATATTTAGCTTTAGTATTTCATTTTATTTTTTGTGATTATAGTGAAAGTGTACAGAGCAAGTTGGTTTACCAATCAACCACTTATTTGTGCACAATTTGCTTTATTTTGGATATGAATGAAGCCCAAAGAATAGAGGAGAGATTTTTTTTTTTAATTTTGCTTCTGCAGTGTTTATTTTTTCTAGATAGAAGTTGGGGGATCTGCATAAAGCCATTCTAAAACTAGTGGATTTTTACTATTATCAAGGTAGATACATAAGTTAATGCTGTTGTTGCCCTGCCTCAATGCTGTCGTTGTTGTTAAGTGCCATCAAGATGTAGGTGACTCATAGTGACCCTACAAACGAAAGACCTAAACGCTTGTATAACTTACATCCTCTCTCCAGGTTCATAGTATTTCCGGAGGCAAGCTATTTTGGAAGTGGATGCCACTCCTGCGTCCAATGCTGGTGTCAATAATGGAGTTTTGCTGCTAAATGAAGGCCAGGCCTCTCTGGTGGTTCAAATCCACCAGGGACTCCATGAAGAAAGATGGGCTATTTCCTCCCATGTGATTTACTGTCTCCACAACCTGCTGGAGGGCCGGTTATGAGTCAAATCTGTTGTTATTGTTGTTGTTGTTAAGTTCCATCAAGTTGTAGATGACTCATAGCGGCCCTATGAACGAAAGACCTAAATACATGCATAACTTTTATTATTTCTCCAAGTTGATAGGGTTTTCAGAGGCACCATATTTCGGAAGTGGATGCAACTCCTGCTTCCAAGCTTGTTTTAATCAAGGAGCTCCACCAAACACTGACCACCAATCATTATCACATTTGACACATCAGTGTCACAGTGTTTAGCATCACAGCAACCAAAAGTTACCTCTGTACAGCAAATTAACAAACCAATGCTATAGCACTTAGATGAACGTTTGACCAAAAACAATTAAAACCAGACCTGAGGGCTAGATGGCAATAAAAGTTGAATGCCCTGCCTCAAACTTTATGTGGGATGACATCAAGAACCCATCCATTCATTAAGTCATCAAACATTTGTTGAATATGTTACCGCAGGAGGGGTCTGTTCTTGAAAAGAGACATCATGCTGGGGGAAAAAAGAGAGAGCAAGAGATAAAGAGGACAACCCTCAACAAGATGGATTAACCATGTTACTGCAGCGATGGGCTTAAGTATATCAGAGCTGACGAGGATGGCTCATTATAGGGCAGGGCTTAGATTTGTTTCACAGAGTTGCTATAGGTTGAACTGAACTGGATGACACCTAACAACCTTAACAATTGCATCCCTAGCACTGATCTTGAGACTTGAGTACATTGGTGAACAGGCAGAGATTCTTGCCTTTGGGGAGTTTATATTCTAATAGGCAGAAAACATTATTAAAAATGCACATAATAAATGAGTAAACTACAGCATGTTGGTAGATGATGGGAGGGAGGGCAAAGAACACTATCGGGGAGATGAAGAATACTGGAGATTAATTTTGTTTTGTACCAATGGGTTTGAACCAACCCGTAGCTGAACCTCCAGTGGGTTTTCGGAGGTAGTTAATTCCACCGGAGAGATTGCCCATCCTTCTCCCTGGGAGCAGCTGGTGGAATTGAACTATGTGCCTTTGAGATTGCAGCACAGCTTCTTAACCCTAGGCTACCAGAGCTCCTTATATTGGAGGTGGTGGTTGTTGCTATGTGCTGTCGAGTCACTTGTGAATCATAGTGACCCTATGTACAAGAGCCCTAAATTCTGCTCTATCCTGTGCCAACCTCACTGTCTCTGACACACCTACTCCCATTATTCCAATCACTGAATTGATCCATATTATTGAGGGTCTCTCTTGGCCTGTCCCTCCACTCTCCCAAACATGATGTTCCTCTGCAAGGAATGGTCCCTCCTTGCAACATGCTTCAGAATCCGTGCCTCCAAGGAGTAGTCTGGTTTCACTCTCTCCAGGACAAAACTGTTTGTTCTCCTCGCAGTCCATGGTATATTCAACACTCCTTTCCAGCACCACATCTCAAAGGCATCAATTCTCTATCATCCCTAGTCACTGTACAGCTCTCTGCAACATAGCATGCAATTGCAAAAGTGTTGGCTCAGATCAGGCACACCTGAGTCCCCATCCTGACATCGTTGCTCTTCAGTACTCTGGAGAAGTCCCTCACAGCTGACTTTCCCAATGCAATTTGTCTTTTGACTTCTTGGCTGCTGGTACCAAAACTGTTGACTGTGAAGCCAAGCAAACTAAAACTGCTAAGTATCTCTCAATCTCTTCGCCATCCATAATGATGCTGCCAGTTGGCCTAGTGGTGAGAATCTGTTTTCTTGATGGTTAGCTTCAATCCATATTGAACGTTGCAGTCCTTAACTTTCTGCAGCAAGTGCTTCAGGTCCTCCTCAGTTTCAGCAAGCAGGGTTGTGTCATTGCATAACACAGGTTGTTGATGAATCTTGCACCAATCCTGATGCCACATTCCTCTTTGTACAGCCCAGCATCCCAGATGATCTTTTCTGCATACAGGTTGAAAAGGTGTGGAGACAGAACACATCCCTCGTGGATGCCCTTCCCAATTTTGAACCATGCAGTGTCTCCTTGCTCTGTTCTGATGACTGCCTCTTGGTTCAAGTATAGGTTTCGCATAAGCACAATCAAATGTTCTGGGATTCCCATTCTTCTCAGAGTCAGCCACATCTTGTTGTGATCCACACAGTCAAAAGCCTTAGCGTAGTCATTGAAGCACAAACATTCTTCTGGTACTCTCTGATTTCAGCCAATATCCATCTAAAACTAGCTATAATGTTCCTAGTACCACAGCCTCTTCTAAACCCAGCCTGCACATCTGGCAATTCTCCGTTGATGTGTTGCTCCAGTCATTTTGCTTGCATGTGATATTAATGAATGATATTATTTGGTAATTTTTATACTCTGTTGGGTCACCTTTCTTTGGAGTGGGAACAAGTATCAATCTCTTCCAGTCAATTGGTGAGGTGGTTGTCCTTCAAATTTCTTGGCACAACATATGTAGAGAGAGTAGACAATAAAGAACTTGCTGAAGATAGTATTTAAGCTAAGATACAGATTTTAGCTAAGTAGACTTCCAGAGAAATAACATTTCAGGGAGAAGAAATAATAAGTGAAGAACTTAAAGTGAGAGGGAGCATGGCCTGAGTGTATAGGGTGCCATGGCTGGAAGCAGCAAAAAGAACTGTCTCCGATAGCTTGTGTTAGTGTAAAGAAAAAATAAAATAAAAATAAATAAATAAATAAAAATCCACATGCAGATGACTTTAAAAAACAGAAATGTGTTCTCACAGTTTGCAGGATAAGAGTCTGAATTAAGGGCCTTGAGAGGGCTTTGTTCTTCTGGCACAAAAGCTTTCCTTTTTCTCATCCAGTTTCTGGCAGCCACAAGAGTTTCTTTGTGTCCCTTGCCTGGTAGATGAATCCTCGCATGATATCATGTGTGTGTGTCCAGATCATCTGTTTTCCCTTTTCATAATGACTCTACTTCACATAAAGAAGTTTAATAAAAATCCTACTCTGGTAATAGAAAAACAAAAACAAAAACAAGCAAACACAAAAAACCACAACAGCAACAATTAAAAACCTCAAAAAAAAAAACAAAACAAAAAACACAACAACACAAAAAAACCCTAATTCCAAGCAAAGGCACATTCAGCGGTATCAAGGTTAGGACTTTAACGTAGTTTATGAGAGAGATAGAATTTAGCCTTAAAAACTTCACATGATTAATTCCCACCACCACTCACACATCTTTATTCCTCTGTTGTCCATCCTCCTCCCTCTTGGACCCCCATGCTCATTCTACAATATTGGTTTTATACAGTATTTGTCCTTATGGGACTGAGTTAGTTCATTCAGCATAATGCTCATGGGGTCGCACAATTTGATAGGGGTGAGGTTAGGAAAATGGGAAGAAACTGGTATGAAAATGTATTCAAATTTTGTAAATAAACTAGTGTAATAAAATTTTTTTAAACATCAAAATAAATACATCTTCATGCCTTAAAACAAAACAAAACAAACAAAACCCACCTTCCATTTGGAAAGATCCAGTGGGGTCTAAAAAAGACGGGGTAATAGTGGGCATAAATCAATGGTTATCTATGGGAAACCTAATGTGAATGAGGGAATGAGTGAAATACAATGTATATGAATGGAAAACTTTAAAAATTAATAAAACCCAACAACTGCCATTTGTTCAAATGTCATTTTATCTTCAGATTATAATACAAGTGAACAAAAACAAGCCTGTAAGAAGCACGAGCTCTATGTGAGCTTCCGGGACCTAGGATGGCAGGTAAGAATTTAGAGACTTTTTTTTTTTGCTTTAACATAATAGCTTGGTGGTGACAGTGGTGTTAGGAGTAGAGCCAAATATGACTCATAGTGAGTGTCCCTATACACAGCAGATCCGAACCCTGTGTTATCCTGTGCCAACCTCAGTATCTCTGACACACATTTTCCCCTGACTCTCCACCTTTCCAAGCATGGTGCCCCTTCCCAAGAAATTTTCTCTCCTAGTAACCTGCTCTTGGAAGGAGGAGTGGCATCCACTTACATAATAGCTTGCCTCTGGAAATCCTATGAACCTGGAGAGAGGATGAGAGACACCCAAACATCGAGGACTTTCCTTCACAGGGTTGCTATGAGTCGCTTGCGACTCGACAGCACTTAACAACAACAGCAACAGTAACCTGCTCAGGGTATGTGAGACAAAGCTTTGTCTTCTTTGCCTCCAAGGAAAACTTCCGTTTTCCCCAATACATATCCATTTGTCTTTTGTAAGTCCATAGGATATTCAGTACTATTCTCCAACACCACAACTCAAAGGCATCAATTCTTCTTCTGTATTCCTTATTCATTGTCCAGCTCTCAGGTACATAGTAAGTGATTGAAAAGACCATGGGCTAAATCAGGCACACCTTAGTCTTCAAAATGACATCATTGCTCCTCGATACTAAGTCCCTAACAATGGACTTGCCCAATGCAACATTTCTTCTGATCTTCTGAGTGCTTTTACCAAGGGTGTTGATTGTGAATCAATGTTAGATAATTTCCTTGATAATTTCAATCTTTTGTCCATCTATCATGATGTTAATTATCAGTCCAGTGAAATGAAGCTGGACATCAAGTGGTTGAATTTTATATGTATAGTTATTTATTAGTTGCAAATACCTTTTTTATAAACCTCACAAAAAGCGTCTTTACACAAGCACCTCACCTAATGGACTGTATAGGAAGCGGTTTGACTACATCTGTGGAAAGAATAGTTGGCACGGCTCAATATTAGCACTCAAAACCAGGTCACATGCTTATTAAGGTATAGACCAAAACTGCTTAGTACCTTCTAATTTTTGCCAGTAATTTTTCTAATACAACTATCAAATGCTTTGACAAGATTTTTCAGTTTTTGAATTATTTGTATATTTTCCTTCTTTGATTATCCTTTCAGTATCAAAGTATAATTTTTAAGTTTTAAGATTAAAAAAACAACTCATGCTCTAGGAACAATATAACTTCTTGATATTTATGAAGTGAAAAATAGTGCTTTATAAATATTTTCAATATTTCATTTTCATGCAAACATGTAGTTTGTTCATATATACATAGGCAATGCTATTTACCTTGTTTTGCCGCTAGCCTATAAGTGACTACGGAAAAAAATCAGCTGTAATATTTGTACCATGAGAGAAAACTGTGGTTGTTGTTGTTATGTGCCTTCAAGTTGCTTGCGACTCATCGTGACCCTATGTACAACAGTCCAAACTCTGCTCTGTCCTGTGCCAATCACACTGTCTCTGACACTCCCATCCCAATTACCCCACTTACTGAATCAATCCACCTCATAGAGGGTCTTCCCCTCCTGTGCTGTCCCTCCACCCTCCCAAGCATGATGTCTCTCTCCAAGGACCTGTCCCTCCTTACAACATGTCCAAAGTATTACAGACAAAGCCCCAGAATCCTTGCCTCCAAGGAGTAGCCTAGTTTAACCCTCTCTAGGATGAATCTGTTTGTTTTCCTAGCAGTCCATGGTACCCTCAATACTCTTCTCCAGCACCACAGCACAAAGGCATCAATTCTCCTTCTATACTCCTTAGTCATTGTCCAACTCTATGATGCATAACAAGTGATTGCAAAGGCCATGGCATGTATCCGATGCATCTTAGTCTCCAGAGAGACACCATTGCTCTTCAGTACTTTGGAGAGGTCCCTAACAGCAGACTTTACCATCACAATACATCTTTTACTTTCCTAGCTACTGGTGCCGAGTGTTGACTGTGGAGCCACGCAAACTAAAGCTGTGAATAATCTCAATCTCTTCACCATCCATTCTGATGCTGCCATTGGTCCAGTGATGAGAATCTTTGTCTTCTTGATATTGAGACTCAATCCAAATCGGAGGCTGCAGTCCCTGACCCTCTACAGCAAGTGCTTCAGGTCCTCCTCACTTTTGGCAAGTAGGGTTGTGTTATCTGCATATTGCAGATTGTTGATAGATCTTCCACCAATCTTG